ATTTTTATAAAAATCATCATTTAAATTTGTTTATATAGATTTGTTCCAACTTAAGCTATGCTTGAATGAGCGTGTTTTGTCAGCCATAAATAATTTTTAAGAATATTGTCAGTTTAATATTTTCTGAAAGTTGAGGCGGTGACAAAAGGTTGGAGCGGCGTCAGGAAGTGATGAGCTCAATATTAGTCTTTGGTGGTATTGAATACCCTGTTCGATTTCCTCCGCTGCTTTCGGTAAGAAAATAACGATTCCAGAGCTTTTCTTTTTACACAGATTTTATTCCAACGTGCTTTCTTTCGAAAAGTAGCAATTTCGACAGATCGAAAGGGCGAAGACGTAGCTAAAGAAGGAAACGTGAGCGGTTTCGGAGTTACGAAATGCGGAAGACGCGCACTCCCCCTCGCCAACTTAAAACTTTATCATTCTACCTCTCCAGCGCTGCGATAAATATTTATTGATAAACCCCAAGCGGCTCTTGAATCTTATATGAAGACGTCACCCTACAATCAGAAAAAAATACGAAGCATATTTTCGACTCGAAAACACGAAAAACTGAAAATTATTTACCAAAATCGATTTTAATTATTTCACGGTTGATAAAACAGGTTCATTGAAGCTGCGCTACAAGATAGAAGATAGAACTCAACTTTCTTTATTCAAAAAGATGAAAGTCCGGGAGTATAAAAACGTTTTTCTAGCGATCTTTCTTTTCAGGAAAATGTTGATTTTTTTGTTGTTTATTGGAAAATTTATTTCTTTCGGAAACATTTTCATCAGCGCGCTTGTTGCATGCGTTTTGGGAATTGTTTTTCATCTGCAGCGAAATGTCGATGCTGCTTAAAAGTTTTTGGACGATCAGAGAGAAGTTGAAGATATGGACTCGTCAATTTTGACTGATATTGCGATTCTCAACTCGACTGCCACGATGAATCTTGGAAACTATTTCGTCAACGGCACTGAAGATAGATTGACACTGAAGAATTTGTTGAATGGTACTGCATGTAAGAGACAGTATTAGCTACTGCCTTTAATGCTCCTTGAATTCAGTTTGCTTAAACATGTGCGAAAGGCGGTATTACAAATATGACTCACTTAATCAGGGAGAGAGTTGAAAATAATAATCTTAATTAACAATTTTTAATCATAATCAATTTTATCCTCAAACAGCTTCTTTTTTATTCCGAACTCGATGTGATGAAGAGAAAGGACCAATTAACAATTAGCAACGAAAATATTGAAGATTTCTTCACAATCGACATTTTCTTTTCGTTTATTTGTTTCAGCTTTCGGAATTAAATTCCATCTTCAGAAACTAAGTACAGTTAACATAAAATACTCAGAAAAGTAAGCTTACCATGTGAGTGGCAAGAGAGAAATTTAGCGCACTGAAGTTTTGACAAGAAAATTAGAAGGAGAAGAGTGATATCTAGAGAATTTCACAACAATAAAAATTGATTTGATGGGCGTTATTGTTGTGAAATACATGCCCATCAAATGAATTTTATTTTTCGGTGGTTGTTTTGTTTGTTAAGATTAGGAAGTAAAATGTTGATGAAAAAAGCTTCAGTATACTTTCGTTTGTGACAGTCGAAAAGATTTGATTTAAGAATGGAAGTATGAGAAAGAAGAAAATCAAGTTTCTTCTTTGGCGTGAGATTGTATTTGTTTTCAGTTTTCAATTTCGATTGATAAATTTCACAGCTGTAGATGTGAGTAGAAATTTCAGAGTTACTTGATCGAAAATTGTGCTCTCTCAGACGGTTAACAACAGGTCGAAGTGTTTCACCAATATATATTCCATTATTACAAGGACAAGTAAATTTATAAATGCAGGCGGTTGGATTATCGCGATTTTGAGAAGGTTTGAGGCGAGGATTTATTAAATTAGAGATTCGAATTGATTTCCAGGATATTTTAAGCCGGAATTTTGGCAAAAATTTTCTGATTGTTTCTAGTAATTGTTTTTGGATGAGATTGCACTGATGCGATGTATAATCCAAAGACAGATAAATTTCCTCGTCATATTCTTGTTCTTTTCTTTTCTCATTTTTTAAAGCTAAATCTATTTTCGAATTAATTAATTTTGACGGGTATGAATTTCCTTTAAGCTTCTTTTTAAGCTTTTCAATCGCAGGTTCTTGAAAAATTTTATCTGAAGATGCGTGCATGATTCTTTTTACGGATCCAATTATGCAATTATTTTTATGGGATTTTGGGCAAATTGACTTAGAGAAATTTGTTAAAACATTACTTTTTGTTGGTTTTTTGTAATGTTTCATTGAAATAAGCGAGTTGTCTTTATTAATGAAAATTGTCGAGTCAAGAAAATTGATCGAGTTATTTTTCATATTTTCAATTTTGAACTGGAAATTTTTATTGACTGAGTTCAACTTACTGAAAATTTTTAGTTTTGATTTTTTCTCACAAACGATTATGCAGTCGTCAACGAATCTCGCAAAAAGTAAACACTCGCCTGATTTTGTCAGTGAGCTAACAATATTATTCTCAATAAGACTGCAAAAACTAGCAACAATTGGGGAAATGCTACCTCCCATATTGACACCCTTATTTTGTTTAAAATTGCCGACACGGCTAGAAAAACCAGTAAAATCACGAAGAGCACCTCTAAGAAGTGCGAAAATTGTGCTTTTTGATGGAAAATGCTCTGGTTTTTCAATAAAACCTTCAAAATAAAATTTTGGATTTTGGTAAATTTTATTGACAATAAATTCAATCGCTTGATTGATATCGACGTTATCATACATTGACACAACGTCAAGCGAAAAAACTGTATGTTTATTTTTATCAAAAAAAGGTCGAATTTTTAAGATTTTGTTTTTTATTTCTTCGGTACTTTTTATGCTGAATTTACAAAATCCAAGCATTTTAGAAAGAATCGGTTTTAAAAAAAATTTTTCTGTATTGCTTGTAAGGCTGTTCGTGCCAGAAATGATAAGTCTTAAAGGTTTGTTTGTTTTGTGTTCCTTGGAGAGACCAAAACATGTGCGACTGTTATAATTAGGCTTGATCTTGTTGAAACAGGTCGATGTAACAAAAGGTTTCAAATCTTCAAGAATGCAATTTAGACGTTTATAATCTCGTTCTAAAAAATCATCCGAGATTTTTATAAATTTATCGGATAAAAGTTGTTCTGAAAGTTTTTGTTCATATTGTTCACATGTGACAATTTTAAGATTGTCAGATTTATCGATCGGAAGGATGAGAATGCTTGGATTCTCTTTCAAAAACTTTTTGAGAGTTTGAGCGTCATTGTTATTTGGGAACGCTTTCCGAAGAGAATGAAAAGAGACTTTAATATTAGTCAAAATTTCATCTGTTAAGAGTGGATCGAACTTCTTATCATTGCAATATTTAAAAATTTTAGTAGCTAAATAATCATACTTTTCGCCAATTTTCTCAGCATGAGGAGTTCCCCCGATACTACGTGAGCCTCCGAATTTCAAAATATCGATAATTTCAGGTGGTAAAGTAACAGATGTATCATTGATAATTTTGATTTCGAAAGGTGGTGGGGATTTTTGTGCGATCAGAGATTTAAGTTTTTTATCTAGTTGAGCTCGATGAAATTTCAGAGAATGAAAGGCTACATTTCGTAAATGCGATAGGTGACGATGAAGGTTAAGCGGTGATAAATTTGAAAGTTTAGTTTTAGAAAATAATTCTAGTTCAGAATTAAGTTGGTCAATAATTACGTTGTTTTTTTGAATTGTTTCACGTGTTATTTGTGATCTTCTTTTCGATACCTCAGCTTTACTCCATTTTACTTGCTTCAAAACTTGCGGCTTGAAAAAAGTGAATCGGGGGTGGACTTGATGATCCAAGCAATTTTGTAGAAAATTGATGTGTTCTCTATAACGCTGGACTTTTCTGATTATTTTATATTCTTGGCGATGTCGTGGTTCCATATTTATATCTCTTGGTGTTGACATCTTGTTTTATAATTCTTTTCGTTTATTTGTTTGAGCTTTCGGAATTAAATTCCATCTTCAGAAACTAAGTACAGTTAACATAAAATACTCAGAAAAGTAAGCTTACCATGTGAGTGGCAAGAGAGAAATTTAGCGCACTGAAGTTTTGACAAGAAAATTAGAAGGAGAAGAGTGATATCTAGAGAATTTCACAACAATAAAAATTGATTTGATGGGCGTTATTGTTGTGAAATACATGCCCATCAAATGAATCTAGATATCACTCTTCTCCTTCTAATTTTCTTGTCAAAACTTCAGTGCGCTAAATTTCTCTCTTGCCACTCACATGGTAAGCTTACTTTTCTGAGTATTTTATGTTAACTGTACTTAGTTTCTGAAGATGGAATTTAATTCCGAAAGCTCAAACAAATAAACGAAAAGAATTATAAAACAAGATGTCAACACCAAGAGAATCGACATTTTAGATATTTCTGTGGTTAACAAAACTTCAAATGGAGCGTAAGTTTCCAAAGATAGAGAAATTCGTGTTGAACAATCATTCAAAGGTTTACAAGAAAAATGTTTCTTGACAGAGCGAGAAAACAGTTTCAAAAATCCGCGAGTTCGGAGCATGAAGATTTCGATTCGTCACTATTGAAATGCGCTGCAGAAATGCAGCTTGCCACAAAGGATGACATCTACTGGTACTGGAGGGGAAAATGCAGGAGCCATGAGTCCTATGCAGGAATTATTCCGATGCAACCTGTTTCCGGCGAGATTAGCGGTGCCTCTTTCGACACAATAAGAATTGAGTTCATAATTCTCGAGACAGCTGAGTTTCATACTTTTACCAAAAGTCTCCGAGAAAATAGCACACATTTATCAAAGGATTTCGCGTGCGAACTTGAAATTTTTATTAATGCTTTTATATCAATGATTCACAGCAAAAACCTTACTGAAAACTTTCGCTGTCCTACTGAAGATTCTTTCTGTTCAGATTTCTTCATCCAAACAATTCATGGCAAATGTGATATTTTCTGAAATATACAAGAAAATTTTCTATATTAAAATTTATTTCTTAGTGATTAAATAGAACAGAACTCTACAGAGAAGCAAAAATATTATAGTTCTGCAGATAATTTTGCAAGCAAGTCCCGAAGTGTAATCTTGATCCACTAAAACTCAGTTATTTGATTTATTTGTTGACAAAAAATTGATTTTGGCGGTTTGAACTCACGTAAAGTTTGAACTGATGCCATTCCTGCCCAGAGTTGATTTTGATTCCAGCCGGTCTAAAATCGCATCAGCTTTTATTTTATTTTTCTTTACAAAGCCTTACGCATTCCATTATCATTCTGTCTTCTTCAGAAAGGGACATGAACTGATTCCAGCCAGATTTAACCCCACACAACGCCGTTTTAACTGGATACTGATACAATCGGCTATCAGAGAATCTACAAGAGCTTGCATCTTTTGGGTTTCCTTAATAAAATTCAAAAACTCATTTTTCTATAAAATTATTAACCCGGAAGAATAGAGTGGATGAAATAAATAACAAATTTTGGATCGCCTCGAGCGAAATTCTGCCTGGTCAATGGCATCTTGGTCGGCTTGTAGTAGATCTCAGTAGTTTGTGCTTCGCCCCCGCCTCTTGTTCTTTCGTGTCTGACAGTTATTCTCTTGCTCGTCAGGATTTCTATATATTGTTGGAGGATTGCTTTTCGCAGGTGAATATCGGCGTTAGCTGGCGATCTTTTAATGGTTCAAGCTATTGAATTTTCGATTCAGATTTTTAAAGATGTAAAATTGAACCAATTAACCTGAATAATTTTTGCAGATCTTGCAAAACATGCTCGTTTTTGTCGGGAACATTCACTGGTGCAAAGTTATGAACACCAGGGTTCATCACATATCCTGGATATGAGCTTGCAGGGGCACCAGGAAGATATTGCGGATTTCCAGGTTGTCCGGAGTAAGAAGAAGAATTGGTACTTGGAGCAGCCCACTGTGAACTTTCGTGCCCCTGAAAACCTGGCGACCACTGATTATTCACAGCCCCGTAATTGTAGTCGCCGGGAGTACTCATAACTTGAAACTGAGTTTTATTCGAGAAAACACAGAATTCTAGCAGATGCTCTAGAAAAAAAAAATAAAAATTGGCCCTAGAAAAAATAAAACTCAATTGAAAGAACTTCTGGAAGAAATTATTCTTCTTTTGACTTAGAATTCTTCCAGCAGGAGGGTCCTCCAGGCACTAGAGAAATCTGCTCGCTTGGTGTCGCTTATTCGGGGTTTAATTTTCGGGGTAATCATCAAAAATCATCGGTAGAGAACAATTTCTCCTGGCCAGTTTTTGGTCTTTTCAAAGCGGAAAGAAATTCGAAGAAAAGAATCACCTGGAATGGGCACTCGAAAATCTCCTGTAATTTTCTCGTTGATTTGTCATTTCTAGGACGGTGCAGGTGGAATCCCTGTCGGCTCACCATCGGATTATCGAAAGCGATCAAGTTTTGGTTCTTGTGTTAAACAAGTCCACTCCCGCGCGGATTACCAAAAACTGGAAAACAGCTAATTTCCCAAATACTATTCTCACTTTCCGAAACTAGAAGTTCGAAACGTGCGAAAAAAGCAGCTTTATGAAAATTTATTTTTCTCGAAATTCGGATCCAGTTAGCGTCGCAGCTGGAGTGAACGTGTTCCGAATAAACACTGCGATCTACCCGAATCCTATCAAAGCTCACCTGACGTTTAACTCGGTTTGAGTCTCTTTTACCCTCAATGGACTTATTTTAAGCTCTCAAGAATTCAATTTGATTAATTATACAGCAGAAAAATTAAGGGGATAGACATCGAAATCTCGATTTTCAGGTAATAAATTTGCTTGAACTTCCATCTGATAATGATAAATAAGGGTGTCACTCGCTTAATAATCGAGAAGACGAATAAGAATCCAAAGATCAAAGGGAAAGCCGCGCTGTGCGCGGCTTTTTGGTTTTATTTCTACTCGAAGCCGCACGCGGTTTCTCGATTTTTAATGATTGAACGCATATTGCGCAGATTTCTGCGCAAAGCACCGTTGAAGCTCGATAACTCAAACTTAACTTTATCAAAATTTAAAATGAACCCCCACTTTTCGGGGTCTTTTTCGATGAAGAATCCGAATCCATCATCAAAAAGTTTTTGGCCTCATGTTAAAAATTTGGCTTCAGAGCGAAAATTTCCGTCCCGCCCAAATTCTACAAATTTTCCTTATAATTTGATTCTTTTTTGACGAAATCAGTAAATTTTTCATGGTTTAATTTTATTTTAGAAGAGTCAAAATGACGATTTATTGTCAAAATGATAGATTCTTTTGTATGATAGTCGATAAAAGTTGAGAAAATGGCATATCTTAGGTAAAACTTGAAATCACTTGTTTTAGCTAGGTTAAAGTTAGGGTTAGGAGTCTTCAGAGGTCCCTAAATGCCCTCAGGGTACGGAATCAGCCCCCACTTTCAATAGTCAAAATGATCCCCAGCTCCTGGGCTTTCTAAATATGTATTATATGCCCACCCTACTAAGCCCAAAAAAAAGTCCAATTATTAGTGATTTCCCCTAGTTAGGACTCAAAACTATATTTTTCTGGTTGCCAAGCGTCTCAGCTTTAATCAGCTATCTGAAATAATCTCAAATCTTTTTATAAGTCGACACTAGAACCCGTCAAAGGCGCTGCGCAGAAATCTGCGCAATATGCGTTCAGCAAAACTTTACAAACGTGCGTTCAAGCGTTAACAGACAGACACCCTTATTTCCGTTCAAACACTTTTTAATGTTCTTTGACTCCAGATCAAATCGATAAATAAGGGTGTCACTTGCTTCAAAATCGGGTAGTAGAATACGTCTTTAAGGATCAAAAGAATAGCCGCGCTGCGCGCGGCTTCTCGATTTTTAAGCAAGGGGAAACCCTTATTTTTCTTTGCGACAAGAAAGTTCGAACTCTTCTTTTAGTTCTTTGACTCGAGTATATTTTCAGTCAAGAATCGGTTCCATCCTCGGAAAAAATTCACATCCGGTGGAGTGACGCGGGCGGAAAGAGTCGATTTATGCTGAAAATACCAAAACAGGGCAGGAAAGTGGATCGACTCTGGCGTTGCAAATTTCACGATTCGCGAAGAAGCGCCGGGCTCATCCAATTTTCGCACATGTGCAGTTGTACCTTTTGCTGCTTGTTGTGTAATTTTGTTTGCCAGGGTAAACAACGCTAAACAAGATCAGAAACGGGCCGAAGGAGGATGGATCTCGCCTCGTGCAATTTGTCACACCCAAGCTGCTCCTTCGACTAATGATCATTTTTTCTCAAATATTGCGCGAAAATCTAAACATTGGTCCAATTTCGCCTGGTCCTCGTTTGCGGCATCGTCGGGGGCATCAAAGGACTCTTCCGCTCGAGTGATGAATTTTCTGGGGTTGGAACATTTGGACCTCGGCTCAAAAAACCTGTGTAAAAATCTGAGTCAGGATCTTGAAGGATTTTTTTTTTGGGAAAAACCGTAGCAGGACCCTGACTCAGGCTTTTACACAGGTTTTTAGAAAAGACATCGTAAAACCCGATGTTTCGCATTGCGAAAAGACCGGATTTGGTTACTAATGATTCGTGTTGATGCTGTGACCTCTCGGCTGTCAGAGATAAACTCGGCGGAAGACTAAGTCGACACCAGATGTCGTAACAAATGATAACTCCAGTGTAATTCTCCGCTTTTACGAAGGGCATCAAGTGGCGATTTTCGATGACTAATGATGTTGAATGCAGCTCTTTTTTTCAAGAAAAATAATGAACAAAATAAGCAGCGTGAAAAAACGCGAATAAAGCAACCGCATGAATTCGAAAATTGGCTTCTGTCGTCTCATAACTCGCCCTGATGACGGAATTCGACAATGGCATGTGTTCGCTTGAAACGATAAATTACTCATCCTTTTTACTTTACCAAAAAATCATTTCACTCTTTTTTGTTAAAAATTTTTTTTTGTATTATTTTTCAAAAATTTGTTCAATTTTTAGAAATTTGCCAAGTTTGGGCCCTCTTTGAAAATTGATGCCAAAATCCGATTTCTTAAGAAATTTTGTCATCAATTTCATCAACGAGCGAAAGAGTCTTTTGGGGAGCTAATGATGATAAACCTTATCGCCTCAAGCGCGGCAATTTGCTTTGATGTTTTAGTCTGTTTAAAAAATCGAAAATTTGAGTGTTTTTTACGAGCAGTTTTTAGCAGATTTTCTCGTTTTTTTTGTTTCCGTTTACGCTTCGAAAATGTTCGTTTACATGTTGCTGACGGAGTTTTACAAAAAAAATGCACCCCAAATCGCCTCCATTTGCGGTGATTAGCAAAATCGTGTAGCACCACGCAATACTGCACGAACCTGCGCGAATCAGACGCGATTCTAGCGCGTAGACAAATAACGAACATCATTCACAAATGATGTATCTATTTGTAAACGGCTGTGAAATAATGCAACACGACTCGTTTTCTGAGAAGTCTGCACAACAAATAGCACAAAAAACAACTCAAAAACAGATCGAAGTCGGAAAATTAAATTAATTAATTTAATTAATGGGGAATAAGGACCCTGGCCAGGTTTTCTAGATAACTTACCGAGGTGAGACCATAATCATCTAATTTATCGGAGTGTATAGATTTTAAATTGATAAGAAGAACCATTGACTCAATAAATTAACAACAGATCATACACTTTCCTTCTGCGGGGCCCGGACTTTGCTTTCGAATGTCGTTAATCTCGTCGAATGTCGGGCGGCCCGATTATCATTAGTCGTATCTTACTGTAAAAATTTGTCATATTCTGGCTCGATTTCAGCGAGATCATTGTTGTTTCAATCGCCTCAAAACAGAAGCTCCCGTAAAAAGCCAGCTCAAGTGCTTCCATTCTCCAGGAAGACGGTGCTCCATTCTCCCCTCCGTTTGTTCTTCTACTAACTTCTTCTCACGGGAGGGGCCAAGAACGTGCCAGCACGGCCTGTCACTTCAAACGAAATCAAAAACGAAATTTCTTCCGAAAGGAAATTCTCAGAGCCGCCTCTGATTTTGAATCAAAGCTTTTGAGTTTTCAAATTCTTCAAAATTTCTTAGTAGAAACGGAAGTGAAAGGCGCGATTTGGGTGTTTGATTTTACGACTTTTCGCTTGAAAGTTGACGAAACCGGATGTCCGGCTTTTCAAGTTTTTGACTGCTAGACAATGTCTAGTAGACATCATCGTTAAACCCTTTTTCATGTTTGTATTCATTTTGATAAGAAAACAGAGCGGAAAAATTTAGTTTTCGCTTTCGATTTTCGATATTTTCTCTTTCGTCATTCGCGTCAGTTCGTAAAGATGATCATCCTCAACTAGCGGTAAAAACTCCCGCTGCCATTCAGCCAGTCGAAAGAGATATTCTGTATTCGGCCCAGCCAATCCGCTAGCATTCGCAATAATGTCAGATAATTCCTCCATGGACTGTTTTCCAGTAAAGTAGTAGTTTTCCGTCGTAGCGGTGTAGACCAACGCTGGAATCGGCGGCGACTCGCAGCTGTGGAACTCCTCCACGGTCACGCTGTAGCCTGCTTTTTCCACCTCTCGCGTATGGAGATATTTAATCCCCGCAGAAATTTCATTCTTTCCGGACAATTTGAACGCGCAGCCATATGTCTCTGCTTCTGCAGTGGGGTCTTTCAGAAGCGTCGCAACTCGAGCTGGAAATTCTGGCGTGCCCCTGTACGTCATGTCCGATTGGTAAAACCGTCGGTGAAACCCACGGATTTTTCCAACGATTTTCTCCGAGTAGCGAAAGACGGGACGCCAAATCAACGACCCGTAGCCGAAAACCCAAACCTCTTCCAAATTCGACAAATCGTCGAATTGATTCAAGCGGATTGCTTCGTTGATTTTCTTCATACAAGAAATATTTCTTGAAAATTAATGAGGAAGAAAAATTTTTCTCAACTTACTTTTCGCTCATTTTCTCTTCATTATCAAACTCTTGACAGACTCGCTCTCGAAAAATTTTTTCTCCGGTCGTGATAAAATTCTTGAGATCATCGCTTGCATCGACTGTATCGAAAGTTAAGTCTGAAAAAGAAAGCATTTTGAGAAAAAGAAGCGTCAATTTTTAAAAAAGCGGAAATAGATTTAGCAAATTTCCTCATTAATTTTGGACTACTGTAGATCTCGTAAAAACTCCAACCAACCAATCAAGACAAAAAACCACTTTGTTGAACTTCACAAAGCCAAATTCGAAATTGGCAATTTCAAATTGCAAATGATCGCATAATTCTGGCGGCGGATTTCTTCTTTTCTAAAAGAAACCCTAGCTTAGCCGGATATCATATCCGCCCGAGCTTACTCAGCGACGACAGTTCTATCGCCTCGCTGCCACGTGTTCTTAATTCCCAGCAGTTCTGTTGCATTCGTTTCTTTCGCTTTCGGAAGCAAAATGCTTGAAGAGTGCTTAGATTCGAGATTTCTTATCAGTAGTGTTCTTAGAGTCAGTTAATCAGGGATCAATATTTCAGGCTTGAGCAAACTCGACAAATAGTAAGCTGAGTGAACAGACACATTGATTGCGACATCTTAATCCGGAAGTTCGAAAATCCGGATTAGGGCTAGGGTTACATTTCCGACCTGGATGTTCAGGCGCTGCACTCTAGAAGATTCTCTTTCTGATAAATTCAATGTTGATTCGTGATGAAAGATTTCGGCCAAGCAATCTGTGTTAAAAACCTGACTCAGGGTCCCGAAAAAGCAAGAATTGGCCGGACAGTGGCATGAATGGACGAAAAATCGAACAATTTGACAGAAAAATTTGTCAAATTTTAGACCAATCAGACTTCCGCGCTTGGCTACTGGGCCGATCAGATTTCAAATGAAGACAGTTTTAAAAATTTGAGCAACTTTGTCGTCATTTTTGTCGATTTTGTCATCTTCAACCCAACATCTCCTGGATTCCCTGCCTTACAACCTGAGTCAGGGTCCTACGACACATAATTGCTTCTTCAGGACCCTGAGTCAGGTTTTCTCCACAGGTGGCCGATCCAAGTGGACCATGATAGACATTCGATTCGGAGTTTTAAAATCATCAGCAAGATTTTATTTCCGAAACTTCGTTTCAGGAGGAAAAAAAAGGTTAAAATACATGAAAATCATTGGTGAATCTGATAAGGAGCAAAGCACACGTATTTTTTTACGAAGAGAAAAAAAAGAGAGAAAATTGGCAGCTAGCGATAAGGAATTTATCTTCGCATTTTCGCCGATAAAAGGGGATGAGGTCAATTAATGAGAGTTTCGCCGTGCTGGGCACGATTTTTGCGGTTTTGATTCGTACTTCTTCTTTTTATTTAATTTCTTCGCCGAATTTACAAAAGTGAAAAGCGATTGGGAAATTCGATCGGGAAAAAACGGTACTTTGGAATTTCGGGTCGCTCAAAAAAGGACAACTCGGCATTTTTGTAAGAGGAAATAGAGCGTCATATTATTTTTGGTGATTAGAACGGCTGATGCAATCAGGTAACCGCGTGAGATTGTATAAAAGAACAGCGCGGGTTCCACGCAAAATGCAATCGACAGGTGGATAAGCATCTACCATGGAATTTCGGGCGACAAGAGTACAACACTTTCTATACCAAAGGATGATTTTTCCATTCAAAACATTGTTTTACATAATCAAATCCGACCTTCTGCTCAGAAACCTGTGTAAAAACCTGACTCAGGGCCAAAAAAGCTTTGAGAGGAGCCTGACTCAGGTTTTTACACAGGTTTCTGAGCTCAATTCTGACCTTTTCTAGCCATTTTTTATTAATTATTATTATCAACTATGAAAAAATAATCATGAAAACTCATGATTCTCGGAAAGTCATCATTGCCCTGGAAGTTGGCCCTTGGCCCATTCTTGGGTTTAATCCGCGCTCCCCAAAATAGGAATAGCCACTTCATTTCTGTCTAAGCTGTTTATCAATGCTCGGATAAGGGAGGTACTTTCCCATTCACGGCAGAATGACTCCCAGGCTACTCAATACTAATTTCTTGGTCTTCGCTCGCTTACAGCTACAATACACGACCTGGCTTTTGAACCCAAAACAGATTATGTGGTTCTTGGGATGCACTTTATGAATTCAAGAATTTCTTATATTTACTTCTACTCCATTTTTTAGCTGTTTTTCTTTAATTTTTTACGACAATTCCAGCTCGTCGTTACCTGAAAATTAAGTGAATCATATATGATTCAAAGAATTGCAAATAAGCGAGCAAATGTTAACATTAACGGCCGGTTATATTTTTATGTATTCAATTCTCAAAAAAATGGGAGAAATTGATATTGAAAAAGGAATTATCCCGAAAAAATGGGTTCATCCTGAGAATACTTGCGCCGGTTCACAATGCCAGGAGTGCGGGTAAGCAGAAGTATGCTTCGTAAAAATTTTAAACCAATTTCAAGATCCTACTGCAGAAGATTGACAATCGTACTCATAAATTTTTCAAAAAAGTAACCATAGACTAGACCCCGGCATTTTAGGACCTAAGGGGCGGAGCCCCGTGGTTAGGGGCACAGGAATCTGTGAATAAATTCACCTTAGCCGAAGAATCAGTGCATCTTTTATCACTCATTCTTCGGTTCATGCCGAAGAATCAGTGTTCTTACACGCATCAATCCTTCGGCCTCCAAGCCGAAGAATTAGGCCGTATCACCATTTTTAATAGGAAAAAAAATTGTGACAATTGCGTATCTTCTCTTCCTATTTCGGCCTTTGTTGACAGGGTGGAGTGCAAAATTTCCGGTGTGATTTTTAGATGTCCACATGAAAAATGTGACGCGAAACTGTCATTCGACGGTTTTTTTCAACATCTTTTTACTTTTTGCAATAATTCATCTTCGAACTCAAACTCTTCTGGCATTGATGACGAGATTCATAAGTTACACAACCAAATCAAGCGACTTGAGGGGTTTAAAAAAGCCGAGGAAGAGCTAAACCAGGAAAAGCGAAGTCTCGAAGAAAATAAAATCGAGCTAGAAAATATTCAAAAAGAAATCAAAGAAATATCGACAAGATTGAAAAATTTGAGGTTTCGAAAAAAAAATTTACTCGGAATCAAAAGTAATAAAGAGCAGAAGATCGCAGACCTCACGTCTAAATGTGAACAAGTGAAAAAAGAATGTAAATGAACACATTAAAACATTATCATATCAATTAAAGGCCGTCCTACTCAACAGAAAAAAGATGATGGATTGTCTTGTGGAGTGTGCTTCGAAAAATATGGTGCTGATCATCAACAGGCCTGCATTGCCACCTGCTTCCATTCATTTTGCTTCAAATGCTTGAACTCCTTGAATCCAAAAACTTGTCCCAAATGCCGACAAGATTTCAATGATTCTCAAATCAAGAAAATCTTCTGACTTTTTCTCAAATAATCGCTGAATAAATATTTCTCCTTAGAAATTACTTGACCTAAAAGCTTATCTCAACACTTTGGCGACCGAAAATAGGTTTTGGCGATCTTCGCCAGAAAGAATTCTCGAAAACGTAAACAGAAGACCGAATGTTCTTATCTGCAGATTGTTGATATTTGGGGTCAGGGGCTCATCCAAACTGTGAAACTTGCGTTAAGTCTTTATTTAACGTTGCACAAGCTTTTCTCTTCCTTTCAAAATAGCACCCTTCTTTCCAGCCTCTTTTCATTTTTACGCAAATTACTCAATTTAAGCCGCCTGAATTAAAATATTATGCCCGAGTCATTCTGGGGTGGAGCTTTCCGGGCAGCGACCTTTGCGCGTATTTTGGCTCAGGTCCGTCGTTCCGCGAAAATTTCCGCAAGTTCTGCCTTGCATATTTTGACTGACGTAGTAAAGGGGCTCGAGTTTCCTGAAGTTTTTTTTTCTCTGATAGTTTGTTGGTATATTCGTCGCAGCTTCCGATTGAGCCAGATTCTAAAGCCAGCATCTTTCCCAAACAAACAGGATATCCTCTTACTGTGAAGAGGAACCATAAGACAAGGTTTTACTTTAGAAATTGGGTTTTTTCATTTTTTATTTTATTGAAAAATTTGAAGAATCAGGAATATTTGGAATAAGTTCGATCAGATTATGGTTCATAAAGATCAAGACTTCCGATTTTCTCTACAATTTTTTGGAAAAACCATAAATGAATGCTTAATCCCGGAACGCATGACCATTTTTGCCAATTTCTGACCATTTTTTAACCCAATATTTTCGCGATTTGGGCATAAAGAGAATAAAAATCCGGGTTTATATATTATAACCGGACTCTAAGCTACAAAAATATAACTTGAGCGTGGTCATATTATATGCGTATATGATATACGGTATATCAAATATAATATGGGTTTTTTGATGAGCAAAATCGTATTACCCAAAAATGGGTCGTATATGCGTTCCGGCGTTAATTTTATTGATTGGGGGTTTTTATATCGCTCCAGTTAAATCGAGAAAAAGGAAGTACTCGGTGCATCAATGAAATGGTTAATTGGATCATGTTATCAAGACAATATTCAGGAGACATATTTTTATTTAAGTTTTTGTTCAAGGATCGCTCTTAGAAATTCTCGAAAAATCTCAAGCTGCAAAATATTTTATCAAAGTGACTTGCGATATTCAGATAATATGACTTGCGCTTCCAAACTCTCTAATAACCTTCACAGCAGTTCCTCACTTTCCAATCACTTCCTGGAAACCACGACCTGCTGACTAAAATCGGCTTATCCCAAATCCATAGATTTTTTTCGTTGATCGCCAAGGTGAAAATCCAAACATTTTCGCAGCTGATAGGGCTCGGCACCTCCCGCCGAGGGGGGATTAAGGCTTCCTCGTTTGGGTCAGGGTTGGAAATTTTGGCACTGACCAATCATCAAGGATTAAGAAAGGGATTAAAAAGCGGATTTTTCGAAAATTTTTTGGGTAATTTACTAATTTGTCAAATTAAAAATTAAAATAGTCTTGAGACCATATTTTCGAGCTCTAAATCGATTTGGAATCTGTTACACTGGCATCGATAACTGTCTTCATTTTTTGCCACATTGTGACATTTGGCCCATCTGCTTACGCGAGAGGCCAGCTTCCGTGCATCACAAAGTGGAACACAAGATTTTGCGGTCGAGACATCCTTAATCCCAAATGCCTATAAACGGACTTCTAAAACGGCGACAGTTGTAATTTTATGTCAGAGTACGGTTTTTATTAGCTAATGCGAATTTCGATTTTATCCAGAATCTGATGCTATGACTTATTTCTGAGCAAAAAAGGGGGAAAGCGCCAAATAATCTATGTCGAAATTAAGGTGATCCGGAACGCTAAATCTCTCGCAGCTGAAGTCCGTCCAGAGGCTTCCGATTATTCCGAAAAGCAGCTTTCGACTGGGGCGTATTCTAAGTGCAATTACGCGGCTACTTGAGCCGACTATTTATCGCCAAGCATATCAGCTCAGCTCGAACCTGGCGCGAATATCATCAACTCAAACGGATTTAATTCGATATCATTTAGCTTTTTACGGGGAAAATGATGGGATCCACTTTTGACGTTGTTTCTGATTATCGAAATTCAAAATTCGAAATTCATCATTTTCCTTCTAATTTCCACTTTTTAATCCACCCAAAACCAGCCCTGTTCAATGCGCTTCCCGGTCGACTTACACTTGTCGGTCAACTTTCAAAATAAAACGCGAGCGATTTGATTGACGACTCGATTGAAAGTCCTTCAACCCTTTGTTCTCCAAGCGGGGCTTTAGCTTTTACGCCTCATTGTGTCAAAAATAATTTTGCGGATCGGCAACTCTTTTGAGCGACAGTAGTTGGCCCCAATCTGCCTTTTTGTTGGTGTTGTTGATGTTTTACTAGTAAAAGGAAAGGGCGTGAATGTACCACTATTGGACATGTCAGCTACAAAGGAAGTTTGATAATCAATTTGATGAATTATATTGACGGGAACAAATTGTTATGGGTTCGGGGTTAGGGTTAGGGTTGAGGCTAGGGGTAAGGGTTCGGGCTTCTTTTCTACATCCAAAAAATAAGGGTGTCGCTTCGTGAAATCTTATGATTTATGACATAAACAAATTTTCGAAAATTATTGTGGGGATATCCTTATTTCAAACAAGAAGATTAAGGTTTGGGTTAGGGTTTTAGCTCCTTCTCTACATAAAGAGAAATAAGGGTGTCTCTCTGTAAAATCTAGTTATCAATGACTTTTAATTTTTTCGAAAGTGATAGTGTTGATACCCTTATTTCATGCAAACAGATTTAATCAAATTGATTCCTACATCTTATTCTTTCCAAAAAAGTATATTCTAGTATAGAAGTACAAAGTTTTAGAAACGCAAGTCAAAAATTCCAGCGTCAATTGAAGACGCATCCGGCTCGTTTCTAATGGCTCGTTTGTGCCATTTATGTTTTCCGCTCACTTCCGGCAGCGTTTCTTGGCTCACTTCGCCTCCTCTCCTGCTTCCAGCGCACACAATCGCAAAAGTACTGCAAAGTCAAGAGGCCAGAGACAAATTACAAAACAACCGCTATCTAATTATCAACTGCATTTATTAGGATTAGCCAAAACTGAATTTTCTCAGAAATTTTTAGTAAAATTTTAGATTCTTTTTTCAAAGAATTTTTTTAAGAAATTTCAGAAAAGTTTTGAGAAAAAAAATTTTTTTTCGCCGATCAAAATTTTTCTGGGATTTTCGAGATAATTTGCGAATTTGCGCGGATTTCGGAGCTTTATCACCATTTTTTATGAGAAGGGAAGTAAAAGATTTTCTGCTGGAAATTCCAAATTTGGCAAAATTGAGATTTTTTTTCATTGAAAATTTTTCGCACAGGTGCTAATGCCCGTGAAACCTGACCCGACCTCAGCTGGATCCGGGTCAACCCGACGATAATCCCTTGCTTCCTCCTTTTCTCCCTCGAAAAGGCGAAAAATCTTTAATTGTTAAATAATCTTACAAATTAAATTACCGCATTTGCCATGTTCAAGCCGCCGCGAATTGGCAAGGGAAGCAGGGAAGTGTCAGAAAAAGCGGGCTGGGCAAAGAAAGGAGCTGACGGAAATTTGACAGTGGAAAATATTGGGAAAAGAAGTTGAACATCTGTGGCGGGGATTTTTAAAAAATGTCATTTGAAATCAAAGTCGCTGTTCAAAGTTCTGTACTTTTGGCATTACGATTATGGCATAATTCTCATAAAATTCTCTCAAGAATTCGCGGACAAAAGATTAGAAGCGCTAGACAAAATGTCGAAGGCCGGACTGGATTCCAGATTTTAATTCCGCGAATAATTCCTGCCGACCACGGGACGGGATTCCCGGCCATTTGTCAAGAATTTCGCTTCTTTTTCTTTGGACTTTTCGCGGTAAATTATAATTTCTTGCATAAATGATGGTTTAAATCTACGATGGAAGATTAAAAGTTTTAATTATTTTTCACCTATTTCAAAGAAACTGAAAATTATTTTTTAATAAAAAATTTCCAGTTTTATGGTTTTTTTATTTCCGAGAAATTTTTGTCAGAACGAAACGGGTTGACATCTTTATTAGTCAGTAGTAGATTTTGCTTGTTGGTATCAGATGACACATGTGCGCGCGCGACTGGCCTAAATCCGCCCCTCCTTGGCAGAGTTGACGGGTAGATGATAGATTCATCCCCTTCTAAGCTCTCCTAATTGGCGCCGCCTGATATTCTGAGTCGCAGCTTACCGGCTTCGGGTATCTCCATATCATCACCCTTTCATCCCGCCTTTTCAGTCTGACCTTTTCAATAAACCCGCAAGTGAAAGGTTGTGCAACTTTACTTTATTGAAAGTCATTCAGGGTCCATGGTGAATGTGTACAGTTCTTTATCAATCAAGCTTGGATCGCCGATTCTAAGTGGAAAACAGTCTTCTTTACAGTCTCCCTCATCATCATCGATTGGATACAGCACTTTCTCGAATTCTGGTGGAACGAAGATCTGAAAATCTCGATCTTGGAATTTCAAATCGAAAAAACTGAGGTCTGTTTGGTACTGCTCGCTCTTTCCAATAATGTTTATCGAGTCAGTTCCATTCCGTGTCCAGTAAAATCCATTGCTCCAGAATTGATAGAGTCCAGTTTTCGTCCCATCGTCGCCGGAATACTTGAATATGGCGCTTTTATCAGTTGTTTGTTTCAAGCTTGCCACATTGTAGCTGAGCTGACTTATGGGATTTTGCGGCCCGACATAGGACATGGCAATGTCAAAGACGGCACCAGAATTTGAATTGAAGGACATGCGATGTTTTGATCCGCTGATAATTGTGTCCTCAAAGTCGAGGTATCCACTTGTTGTTTGACTCGTTGTCGTAGTTGTTGTTGACGTCCAAGTTGTCGATGTTGTCCAAGTTGTCGTTGAAAACCAAGTTGATGAAGTTGTCCATGAAGGAGATTTCGTCGAAGCTGCAGAAGAAGTCCAGGTTGTTGTTGAGGTCAAAGTTGTTGATGTCGTCGAAGTCTTCAAAGCTGAGGAAGTTGTTTTTGACGTTGACGATGATGGCTGGGTCGATGTTGGCGATGAGGCAGAAGAATCCTGATTTGTCGTTAATGTTGTTTCCTCAAAAAAAATTTAAAGAAGTTGTGAAGTTAAGATTTTATCCTACAGAAGAGATTGTTTTTTCATTTCTTGAAAGCATAACTGGCACGGTTATAACTGTGCAAATGGCCGACAACGCGAAAAATGTTCCGGTGCCCCATAAAAGTATTTTGGTGGTATTTCTCTGTGCCATTTTGCGCGAGTCTGATCCGGATGCCTCAATTTAAATGCTCCACCAATTTGTTGAGCGAGCTGGTGATAAGCTAGCGATCAGTATTTCGAAGGCAAATCAGTATTTAACCAGATTAAGATTTGACGGAAGCACTGTACATTTCGGAACACTGTCCTGAATTACTGATAAGAGCGATTAAAATGTCAATATTGAAAGTCACGTGGTTTCAATCGAATCGAGAAGTACTTTTCTTCCCGAAAAATGATCAAGTTCATGGGAGAGCGCTAATTTTTCGGTGTTGCCAAAGCCCAATCTGCGAAAAACATAACTTCCAGCGGTCCGAAGCGAGGCAATTCAATTATCTCATTTTCCTCTTTGACATTTGTTATTGAAACAGAGGTTTCAACGATGTGAATGTATCGCCTTTCAAATATTTACCGGCCGCTCATAACCGACCTCTGTCACAGCGGAAATCCTCCGCGGTCAGTGAAAAAAAAGGCAAAATCGAAAATGCCGCAATATACAAGTCTTTCTCGGAGATATAAAGAATCGATTAATAATGAGCAGTTAACCCACTAAGACCATTTTATTGCCCTACTAAGCGTGTCAATTCGCGCTCAAATCCGCGTGATGTTGAAAGCGTTCCAACTCTTTCTTCAGAAATCAATGTTTTCGATAATCTGATGTCAGAAATGTCTACCAGACAGGAAACAGAAGGTCTTACTTTAATATTTATTATTTTCTTTGAACTTATCAAGATTTCGATTTTTACAAAATTCTCATTTTTCCGAAATCTGACAGTTCTGAAGAACAAAATGTATTTCTACAGAATTTTGACATTACTGAAGTGACACCCTTATTTGGTTGTTGGAAACCCTAAGAACCCTAAGAACCCTTCCAATCCTAACCCTTACCTTCCTTACCATAACCATAAGAGTAAGGATCGGAAGGGTTGTTAGGGTTAGGGTTTCCAACGACCAAATAAGGGTGTCACTTCAGTCGTTTCAAAGTCACGTAGAAATATCTTCTGAAGAACTGTCAAGTTTCTAAAAATTGACATAACTCAAGCCAACGACTTATATCAGCTTAATTTTGTATCCTTCCAGCTATCGATGACTACCCCCTTAACCTTACGCCGCCAAACCCGAATTTCACCCCCCGCCACCAAATGTGCCATATATGGCACATTGCAGTGTATTCGATGTGCCAAATATGGCACAACTCTTAAAAAGTCGGCTGGAGATGTTGAAAATAGGAAATTTTTTGTCATGCTTCCAAATGTTAGACATTTGACATTATAGGACATCAGACGACATCAAATGACATCAGATTCATCTCGGAAATGTTTATCTTCCTCTTATAAGGGAAAATCCCTTACAATGCATTTTAGGCGGAAAAAGTCCCACCGCCGCCAAATGTGCCAAATATGGCACATCACAATACATTCTTGTGCCATATATGGCACACAAGTAGCGAAGCTAAATTCGCTATTTTGACGCATTTGTAGCGGTGCTAAGCCAACCAAAGGCCTACTACGTGAAAGGTTAGCGAAAAGTAGGGGTATAAAGGGGGGTCGGCGAAACTCTCACTCCAAGTAAAAAATAAGTTACAGGCGTTTTAAAGTCTTGGTGCCATATATGGCACACTTGGCGGCGTAAGGTTAAATGTCTCATTTACGAAAAATTCTCTCTACTTTAGAGTTTCGTAATTGAATCTTTTACATCCGATCATCCCGTTTGAAGTCACTCTCCGTCGACTTTTTAACCTCCTTTCCCAAGGGCGAAATCCAATCTTTCTTGGGCGCGAACCAAGAAAAAAAAACGGCCTGCATCAGCGAATTAAGTCTTACGTTCCAATCGCCGTAACGACCCGTAAACAAGGGATTAAGCTGGCGAGATAAATCTCTATTTTCTTCCCTCAGTCGAAAAAAGGGTTGGACAAACTCCAGAATTAAGCTTTTATCAGAAAGATATTCGACCAGGAAGAGAAGGGCCTGAATTAATTTAGCTCTAGAAATTGTTTATTTAATTTTTCCTTTGATCTGATGCACACGCTTTGTTCAATTCCTTGGCGCGTGAATGGGGCCAAATTTGTCGCAGACGGATTAGCCAGTTTGGAAATTCGACATGGGAAGCGACCATAAAGTGTGTGCTTTTCGATTACTTGGCGGCGCATCAAACGGATTTCGCTGAGCTTCTTCGCTTTTACTCGCGTGGATTGTTATGTTAATGTTTCGCTAATCTTCCTTTTCGAGAAAATTTTAAGCTTTCAGGACTTTTTTGAACGCTTTTTTGCCAAAATTTGGGCGCAGCAACCTGTGTAGAAACCTGAGTTAGCGAAGTTAGGGTTAGGTCCTTAGTCAGGGCTCTGAAAAAAACCCTGACTAAAACCTGAGTCAGGGTTCTGAAAAAATCTTTTTCCTGTTCCTGACTCAGGTTTCTACACAGGGTTCGGGTTTGTTCTGTCCTGACTCAGGGCGTTGAGAAAAACCTGAGTCAGGGTTCTTAATAAACCTTTTTCCTGACCCTGACTCAGGTTTGTACATAGGGTTAGGGTTTGTTAGGTCCTGACTCAGGGTTTTGAAAAAACCTGTCTTCAAACCTGAGTAAGGGTCCCGAAAGAACCTTTTTCCTGACCCTGACTCAGGTTTTTACACAGGTTCCCGATTCAAGGTCTAAAGAAAACTGTACTAAAGAGCCTTATTTGACATGGGAAAGCCTGTCAATTTGCCTCGCAAAGATAGAATTACGTTTTGTAAACTATTCGTAACAAAGAAAAACTAACAAAGTCAAGGCTATTGAATATTTCTATTCTTCGGTCGATGACCCCTTTTTTCTTTTTCTAAAAAGAGGAGCATAACTTCTCGTTGCTGCTGTCATAACAGCTTTTCAAAGGCCACAATTACCAGAAACCAACAAAAAGGAAGGACTGACAGAAAATGATCACTCTCGATACTATTTCCCGCTCGACTTCCGACGCGGCAGAAAATACTGACAGGCGACAGGAAAGAATGGCTTTTGAGAAAAAGTAGACTGACTCACGTGACATTTATGTTCTTCTGAGTTTTTATGGCCCTCGATCTTTGTAAGTCGGAGAAAGTGATCGATTTGACGGACGATTAAAAACTTAAAATAAGGATTTTTTATTGCGATAAAAATTGTTACAAAAAGGCTTAAAATTTTGGGTGGCCTTGTTCGTCATCCATTTTCCTGCATATGGAGCCTTGTTCATCCTTGGGTCACTTATGCGTAATAAAAGTTTTCTAGAATTTTCTATAATTTTCTAGAAATTTCGACAGAAAAGGGGCTTCTTGGCCTCAAGATGAACAAATTCACACCTGCAGGAAGATAGAGGATGAACAAGGCCAACCCAATTTTAAGCCTTTTTTGACCAAACGCCTATGATGATATCTTTTCTTTGAAAAAATGAAGTTGTTTGCGCGTTCCGTAATTATCGTAAAAGAAAAACTCTCGATTCGGTAATTTAAAAACGTGATGTGGCGGGTAACCCTGTTGATGTCCCCGTGGCTAGCTCGGTGGTTACCTTCTGCTCCTGCTTTCTGCTTTTTTCGGTGCTTGTTACAGGCTCCAAGTTAATATCTCCCCACTCGTGTCAAATTACTTGCGTGGCGGAAAGTTGTAACTTGCTAAGGTACACGGGTAGATGGTGTAATCCCAAAACATTTTATTTTTGCATTTCTGGAAATTTTTTTAGAAAAAAGAAGTCGACTAAACACGGACGTAAATTGGATGAAATTAAAACGGAAATCGAGTTTTTAGAACGACGACTTGGGTGTTTCCGAATTTAATCTCATCGAAGAGAAAACCTGAATCAGGGTCTTTTTCAGGTCCTGACTCAGGTTCGTTTCAAGCTTGACTATTTTCTTTCGAGAAAAAATCCCATCAAGAATCTAGTCAATCTTGAAATGCTCCTTATTCCCAGCTCAGTGGCGTCATAAAGGGGCAAGATTGTCTGGGTGATGGTGCCTTGGATCAACATTTATATAAGAGCGAGGACAATTATTTTCTCGGCGTTGGAAAAATATTTTGCGAGCGGAGTCTCGGAGCGACTGGGTGGTCCCGTAATCGCACACCGATTTTCCACAAATTAACGGACGCCATAACAACCGGCGATCGGGCGCGCATTAATGGTTCCGATTTCGTCAGGACAAAACCGGCAAGAGTCCAAGAAGATCATCTTTTTCAAAAAAAAATCGGGGTGGCGTCAGGAACCGACAAAAAAAATTTCGACAAATTTTGCGTGGGCGACTACTCCGCTTCTGATTAGCCGAATTGCCGAATCCAGGCTTCAGATTGGTTGAAAATTTTCACACAAAATTTGTCGAAATTTTTCTGTCGGTTCCGAAAAATCATCGAAATTTCTCGAAAACTCAAATCAACAATTCAGCAGAAGAAGATTCACAAGTGAATCCTCAAGTGTATTTTCCAAAGAAAGAAAGCCTGTCCAAAGCGTCCTCAATAATCGCCACTCAATAATCAAAAAATTGCCTCTGAATTGTCCCGAGCTCCTG